GAACAGGTCCCAAAAGATGGAATTCTTTTCATATGATGAGAGAAGAAAATGAATCCCTCACCCTGAAAAGGAAAAGATAAAAGGGAAAAGAATGTCAATGTGTTATATCCTTTAGTAAATGAAGAAGGTGGACATGGAGGGACTGACCCTTCACCTTCTGAAATAGTCTCTCTAGTGAGCACTTCTTCCAGCCCGAGGAAGTTGGATTTGAGATGTAAATTATTAAAGCCACTGCACACAACGAACAAATGGAGCCCTTTAACCCAGGAGGAAATAAAAGCTGAATCGAATTTGGTTTGGGAAGTGGAGGTGGGGGACCATAGTCAGGGGGCATCCAAAGTCAATATTACAAACAATCTAATGTGCCACTGTCAGAGCCAAAGAGTGTTGAGGCCATGGGTCCAACCCCAGGAGACCCTGTCAATCCTTATGCTTTTACATTTTTGACTTTTTCATCTTTATGGCTTTGCAAGTCCAGCTAAAGTTGGCATCTCTTGAGCCTTTCCAATGACTTGGAATGCTTGTCTTTGGAAAGTAGCTATTGTCCATTTTAAAACGAAGGCATATACAACTCATTCATTCATCCATCCACCCATTCATTCATTCATTCATTGAGAGCCTGCTGAGTACCAGCCTCTAGGTGTATGTATATTTCCTCTCTATTGCTTATAATTTTCTTCCCTGACCTGACCTTCCCGACTAACTCTCCCTACTACTTCCTCCAGGTACAGAAGTAGCCATTCCCTTCTTTCCCAAACTCTCCTCTTGAAATGCTGTCCTCTCCAATGCTCCAGAGCCAAGGGCAAACACTTCCAAGGCATATATCCAGACATTCTGATTTTTTTTATTCTATAGACAATGTTTTTTTAGACTTTGTGTTACTCTCCCAAGAAACTGGTGCTAAAGGGAATTAAAAGTGCAGGGAATTTATTAAGGGAAATACCTATTAAAAAAAAAGTGGGGTAGGGGCACCCGGGTGGCTCAGTCGGTTAAGCATCTAACTTTGGCTCAGATCATGATCTCAGGGTCCTGGGATCAAGCCCCATGTGGGGCTCCCTGCTCAGCAGGGAGTCTGCTTGTCCCTCTCCCTCTGCCCCTCCCCCAATTCATTCTCTCGCTCTCGCTCTCTCTCTCAAATAAATAAATAAAATCTTAAAAAAAAAAAGTGGGGTGGACACTGGGAGAGGCAGAGAGAGCCCACAGACCATGATGCAGGTCTGACCCCAAGTGAAGTAGACCACCGTGCAATCTCTGGAAGGATCTGTAAAACCGTCCTCAAGCCAAATTCAGCCATTAGGGGAATCCTGTGTCTCCCAGAAACAAGCCTGCCTCAGTGTCCCTGCCACACTCTGCCTTTGGCTGGGAACAACCCGTGATAAGAATGACCTCGGTGCAAACACACCTCTGGGGCATTCAGAGGGCACAGTGGCGCCTCAGTCAGTTACACCCCCATGGTTGGAAGTCTGAGAAGCAAGCTCTCATGGTCACCTCAGATGTTCATTAACATGGGGCAAAACAAGTTTCCTTCTATTCTTTCATGCCTCTTCAGTGACTTCGATTAGGAAATCAAGAGTTTTGGTGTGTGTGTGTGTGTGTGTGTGTGTGTGTGTGTGTGTTTAGAAGGAGCCCACTCCCACAGCCACAATGGCATCTCCAAAGCCCAGTTCACACTGCAGACCCTCACCCCTCTCTTGCTCCCTTTCAGACCATCCTGGTGGGTGACAGTGGCGTGGGGAAGACATCTCTGCTGGTTCAGTTCGACCAGGGCAAGTTCATCCCGGGCTCCTTCTCGGCCACCGTGGGCATCGGATTCACAGTAAGCGCTCCCAGACTCTGGGGCCCTGGTGTGTCTCTGTCAGGGTCCCAGCAGGAAACAGGTGGACACTCACATTGGATCATTCAAGGTTTAATACAAAGACTACTTACCAAGGTGGAGGCAGGGTGTTGGGGAGCCAGGGGGTATGGTGCAGTGCCCATGCATAGCGCAGGGCCTCCATTCCAGCCCTAACCTAAAAAAAAAAAAAAAAGAGGGATCTACTGTCAGAACCTGGGGGGGGAAACCGGCTGGGGGGGGGGGGGGGGCTGGCTGGCAGGAGCTGTGACCCTCAGTGGAGAAACCGAGCAACTCATAGTCACCCTCCTGGGAGCTAGCCAGGGCAACAAGGCAGCTCCCTCCTATCGTTCCCTCCTCCTGCTCCCCCATCTCTTCCTGGGGCTCCCCATTGGCTGAACACAACTGGAAACCAGAAAGAATATCTTGATACAGATTGCTCAGGTCCACCTTCCCGGGCAAGAAGAATGTGGAGAAGCAAAGGGAGGGCTTCAGATGTTAAGTACAGTCCAAATTTAACACTGTTGTGTGGGTCCTAGGGAGTTGGCAGGCCAACAATTAAAGTTTTGTTCTTAACTCTCTCCCTCTCCCTGGATCTCCACAGGATCAAGACGGAGCAGAGCACAGGGCCTGTGGGACCACACTCAGGGCTGGGAGGCAGGAATGTAACACTGGGGGAAGAGGCAAGGGGAACCCCCAGAAACTGGACTTTCCTGTGGGGTCACAGCAAGGAAGGCAAGGACTCGTGATGGCCAGGGATTCAAAGTAAAACAGAAGTGAAAGCCTGGCCAGCATGTGCGCCAGGGCCTAATCCAACCTGAGACACCAGCACCCAGGGTTCTCCCATGACCAGCCTCCAGAGTGCTGGGAAGGACAGGGCTGAGTCCCAGGAGAGCAAGGCTGTCCAGACAATTCCTGAGGCCTTGGACCAGGCTGCCATGCCAGGCATCCCCCGCCATGGGCCCATTCCCCGTCTGCCCCTCAGCACAGAAGCTCACAGGGGGCCCTCACAGCCACCAGCCTTCTCCCTTCACTCCACGTCCATTCCTCCACCTGTCAGACTCAGAGGGCAGACAGTGGGGTGGATGTGGGTGGGGACACTCTGATTCACACTCCACAGATGCATCGGGGTGGGACCTCCAAATTTTGCCGCTAGCCTGGTAAGAAAAGTGTGGCATCTGGCCTCTAAGAAGGAAGAAAGTATGTGGTCAAACTGAGAGCCTGAAGCAGGCTGACACAGGACAGTCCTGGCTCTCCCAAACCTACCACAGGACAAAGGAAGGTCTTGGTTGAGCCAACAACGCAAACCAGGGCTGGAAGTCAGAAGCCCACATTTCCCTCCGCAGGCTCTAGGAGGGGCTCCTTGCTTGCCTCTTCCGGCTTCTGGTGGCTCCCAGCAATCCTTGGCATTTCTTGGCTTGTAGATGCGGCACCCCAATCTCTCTCTCTGTCTTCACAGGGCCTCTTCTCCCTGTGTGTCCGTTCATCTTCTTCCAAGGACACCAGTCACATTGGATTAAGGGCCCACCCTACTCCTGTTTGACTTCATCTTAACTACTCACATCGGCAACAACCCCACTTCCAAATAAGTTCCCATTCTGAGGGAGTAGGGGCTAGGATATCCACAGATGGTTTGAGGGATGTAATGCAACCCATAACAGCGTGGTTTGCGGTGGATGGGGAGCAAGGGCCATTCCTCCTCCTCTCTCTCACTTCTCGATGGCCATTACTCTCTTGCTCTGAAAACCGTTGCCTCTGCAGGGTTCCAGTGTGAGCACTCAAGAGCTCAGAGTGGGCTGGGGTGTTATTTGCAGCAGGTGACTCTGGCATCCAAAGCGCTGACCATACCACACATCTGCAGAGTACCGTACAGCTTCTCGGCTCCCACAGATGGCTCTCTGAGGCCCACCTACGTATAGATGAGGTGATGGCATGCCCAGCGCCAGAAAATAGCTCCGGCTGATGCCAAACATCACAGGGCTAAGAGGCAGGTGTACACACAGTCCCGACCAGGCCTATAGTCTTCCATAAGCCACATCTGACCCTTACCCCCAACACCTAAGTCAAGAGGTGCAGATGCCTCTCTCCCCCTAGACATCCTTCAGTCAGTCCCTGTATAATGCATCTGCCCTGTTCAGAGGTAAGCTGTGTGTGCTTGTATACAAGGCTGGGACAGGAGCAACTAAATGGCTGGCCAGGGCCACAGAGTCCCTGAAGCCTACTAGGGGCAACCCCGGACACACTCCCACTCTCTGTCACCAGGAGCTACAGGATTCCTGGGATATCCTGGACAATCTGCTCAAAATGATCCACGACCTCATGAATGCATTTAATACCAAACATTTAAGGCCTGCTCCATGCCAAGGGACGGGTGCCAGGCATGAATAAGGCCAGCCCTGCCTTCAGGAGCGCCTAGATTGGGAGGTGTGTGGGGGGAAGGCTTTCCCCGGATGGGTCATTCTGGGCGCAGCCCAACAGGTCAGGGAGAAATGAAAGGTTATCTACACTATAAAAGGTCAAAGTCCTAGCACCCACCAGGGGCCATGAAAAACCACCGCGTAAATGTGCTGCGAGGTGAATTTCGGTAGGTAAATAAAATTATATTCAGAAGAGCTCGCGCTGGGGTGCATTAGCAAAAGCAAAACTGCCTGAGCGCCTTCCTCACAATGCACGCCTCCTCGCAAAACCAGCGCCCCGCTGCCCAGAGGCGTCCCCAGCTCACAACCGGGACCCAGGGACACCTGTCGGCCGCCAGCGGGCCGGGGCTCGGGCGCCGCCTGCAGGCCGCGCTGCGCAGCGGCAGCGAGAACCGGGGCGCCGAACCGCGGGGTCCCAGCGATGCCAGACCTTGCGAGGCAGGCCAGATTTCCAGGGACCGTTCCCCGGGGAACCTAATCCGAGCCGCTGGCGACCTTGGGGGACCGGTCCTGGGGCTGGATTTGGCCCGTGTCCTCAGAGCGCGAAGCCGGGCCAGTTTGCTCGGGGGCCCGCCTGCCCCTCAGGCGCTGATCCTGCGGTCGTGCGCGCCCTCGCGAGACAGCCCGCTGGGGCAGGTGTCGTCGGGGTGGCCGGACGGAGGGAGGAGCCTGTCGGGGTCCGGGCCGGGGCGGTGGAGGGTGGGAGGATGGGGTGGAGCCTAAAGCGGGGCGGTCCCTGCGCTGTCCCTCGCCCGCCACCAGCCCTAGCTCACCTCTGGTCCAGGGGACATGACGGGCATGTCTGGCGCCGCTGCCACCCGGGATGGAGAGGCTCCCGAGCACTCCCCGCCTTGCAGTCCGAGCTACGATGTCACGGGCAAGGTGGGTGGGCACTGCGCCCAGCGCTTAGAACTCCCCAGCCGGCTCTGAGTGCACCCCTTCCCCGCGCCCTTTGCCCTGAGACCCCGGTCCAAGCCCCTTTCTGGCTTCGTCTGCGTTGGACTCAGCCCTTCCGCCAGGGAGCCGAGTCTCCCAGAGCAGGGAGGAAGGGTGGAGACAGCCCCTGGCGCTATGCCATCGTCTAGGGCTCTGGGCTGGCTCAGCAAGGGTGGAAAGAGGAGGGTCGGAAGGACTGAATGACTCCCCACACAGGGGACCCCAACCCAGTTTTCTTTTGCTGCACCCTGGCCGCTATGATCTCCCGGAAACCCCGTGCTTCTCAGTACGGGTTAAGCGCACAAACCTCCTCGGCACAGGCACCCCCCAAACGCTAGGATAAAGGGATGCCTGGAGACGCGGAGAGGACGCCCCCTGGCGGCGGAGCAGTTGCGGTTAATGCCCTTTCCCCAGTTAAGCTCTCAGCGGAGACTGAATAACGAACGGCGTTTGGAGGCCTTAGGCCTGAAGCTCTGTGGGACCCCGGGTGCCCCCGAGCCCTACCCCTTCCCTTTCTGCTCCCGAGTCATTGCTTCCCGCCTTCTTCCAGGAGGATGTTGCTAACCAAAATGCAGGCCCACCTGAGAATTTTTAGAAACTAAGAAAGATTCTGTTGGTTAGTCACAAGTCCCCCATGGGTTAGCTTAAGCCAGCTCTCTGGGGCCAGATCCCCCTGCAGGGCCACCCTGTACAGAAGCAGGTGAGGGAGGCAATGGACACTGGTCTGTCTGCCCTCCCTCTGGGCCCGGGGAGGAGGCAGGGACCGGGAACCCTGAACAAGGTGCTGAGGGAGCACATAGCTTCCACTCTTCCTCTGTAAGGTTGGGGATGAGTGAGGGGTTGCCCTGTCTCATGCTGTGTGGCCTTGGAGGAGACCTGACTCTTCCTGTGCCTTGGTGTCCTCCCCCACCCCCACGGCTCACTCTCACTAGGAGCTGGGGCCTCCACCCCCATTGTTTCAGGGGAAGCCACTCTGCAAGTCACCCACCCAGAGCCGTTAAGATAGGCGTCCTGTGTGGGCTGGTGGTAGGAAATGGGCCCCTGTGCCTTCAGGGGAGGGGGAGCTGCTAAGGGCCAGGCCCCAGGCTGGTGAGGACCGTCTGACCTCCTGGCCTGACAAGCCAGCTGGGCTGTTTGCCTAGGAGGTGGCAAGGCTGGGCTGGAATCGCCTGGCTGGGTGGGTGGTGAACATCTTTTGTTCAAGGCAGCTGTGATCTGAAAAGGATGCAGGAGCTCAACCTCCCTCCTTCCCCCTCAGGGGCTAGGACCCAGGAGCCAAGGAGCAGTGCTGGCTCCAGAGGGCTCCCCAGCCTCCAGCTCTCCATCTCCTCTGGGTCAAGAAGCATCTGTGGAGAGTGGTCCATGGCCTCCAGCAGCCTGCGTCCCCTGGGCTTGCCCCAGGAGACTGAGTCCAGGCCAGTCTGGGAGGAGCCTGGCAGGAGCTCCTTGGGCCAAATTAGAGGGAATGGGGGCCACAGGCAGGCAGCACCCAGCCCCAGGCCACTCTTCCCTGAGTCTCAGGTAGTTCACATCAGCATTATTGGTCCAAGTCATTAACAGACTCCAAAGAGGCCTCAACAAAATTACCCTTCCTCCCTTCTAGCTGCTGTGGAAACCATGCCACAGAAGGGTTAAGGAATCTTCCGAACATCCCCCAGTAGCCATTTCAAGCCAGGACTCCAGCCTTCATATGCCTTTTGCTCAGTCCCCTTACCTTTTCGCCAAAGTTAGCTAATCCTAGTACCCCATGCCCACAGCAGGAATGCCTTTGGGCTCCATTGTCAAGGTCAGAGCCTCAAAAATAACTCAAACCTAGTCCCTGCTCAACCCATTAAGTATCTAACCAGCCAACTGGGAAAATTCCAGCATTAGGTCCAGACTTCTGTTCTCCAAGCTTGAGGAATGACTGGACAGAAGGCTCCCCTCCTCCGGCTCCACTTGTCTTGTCCCTGAAAGCAGATAGATGAGCTGAGACTGACCAGACAATAAAGGGGAGGGACACACCCCTCCCCACCCCACCCCCTACAGTGACCCCGGGATGCTAATTTGCAGCCATCTGTCCCACTTGGGAAGTTTCTGCAGAAAGAACTTCAGACTCATCTCCCCATTTCAGCATAAATTTCAACCCTCCCTAGTTCATGCAACCCTTTTATAAACATAAAATGTCATTAGAAACTTCCAGATAAAGCTTGTGACCAAAAAAAGAAAAGAAAACAACAGCAGCGGTAATTTTAGAATATGCCTTTGCACACAACAGGGCCCGGCCCTATCAGATCCGATAGCCTCCCTTGGGTGATAATCCCTGTCCACGGTATTAACATTTCCCTTCTGGAAGTGGTGGTTCTTTGGGGCCACCAAGCACATTTGCTGACCTATGAGTGCTGAGGTCTCAACTCAGGCTTCCAGGAAACTGGGTGAGGACAGGAGAGTCAGAAGGAGGGCCTGAGAAATGAGCTGAGCCAAGGAGTAGAGAGGAGAGGCAGGGTGAAGGCAGCGGCGGGCTTTCCAGAAGCAGGTGGCCCTCAGTGCCAACAGCATCCTTCCCTGGCCCTCTGCCCCTCCGCCCCTCTTTCCAGGGTCTCTCACCCTGGAAGCCCGGAAATTTGCCCCAACTCCCCATTAACTGCCTCTGCCCGCCCCCCATCTCCTAGGTGATGCTTCTGGGAGACTCAGGCGTTGGCAAAACCTGTTTCCTGATCCAATTCAAAGACGGGGCCTTCCTGTCCGGGACCTTCATAGCCACGGTCGGCATAGACTTCAGGGTGAGGTGGCTGCCAGCTCCTCCTCCCAGCTGCAAGCCAGGGGGGCCAGGGCTCAGGCACAGCGTGCTGTCCTCTCCTTGCGGGCCCTGGCTCCTCAGAGCTGCTGTGGCTCACTGCCCAGAGGGCACCAGCGGTGCTCCCCCTTGGGACCACAGAGGGGGCCAGGTTCAAGGAACCTGGGCATGGTCGGGGGCTCTCTGCCCACCTACAGGATATGAGCAATGAGACACTGAGTCTTAAAAATTCTGCCCTAGAGCAAGGCGGACACATCCCACGGTATGAGCTGAGTTTCCTGGCCTTCAGCCCCCTTGCTCATTGCCCTCTGAGCTGGGCCCCTCTGGCAAGGCCCCAGAGGTCAACAGGTCTTTCTGGAGTTCCTGGAAACACAGCACTGCACTGGGTTGAAGAGCCAGGCTCACCAGGCTCCCTCCCTGTCGTCTTGAGGAACCCATCTTTACAAATCTGTGTCAGGGGTGTAGCACTCTGCCACTCTCCACCCAAAGGGTCCAGGAGAGTAAGGTCTAACCCCAGGTGGGGGGTGGGGGAAGGGAGGCAATGCCGAGGCCAGGTGCCTCCCTCCCCAATGGGAAGGAACTGAAGCTTCACTTAGGAGAACTAGTGAACAGCTAGAGGGAAAGACCATCCTGCAGGTCCAGCCTTAGCCGTGCCCAGGATGCTGGGGGGCATCTTCTCTCTAAGGACTCGGTTCTACAGGATGGGGCTGAGCTCCCGGAGGGATGGATGGAAGTGAGAAAGAGGCAGGGCCCCCAGTGCCCAGCCCTGTGCCACCTGCTGAGGTCTGGGGAGAGCCAGGCAGGTGCTCGGGCTCTTCTGCCCCCGCATGTTATAAGAAGAGCAGACAAGTCCCCAGAAGAACTCTGCAATGGGGGGGGGGGGGGGGGGGGGGGGGGGGGGGGGGGGGGCGGCGGTCTCTGGAGACAGGATCCTGCTGACCTGAGGGGGGTGATCTGACTGGAGTTGTCTCTGGGGCTCACTGTACCCCTTTTAACCCTGGGAAGCAACCAGAACAGAATGTCTGCTGCTCTGTAGAATGTCCAGGATCCAAGCCTCCCCTGCCTTCCAAATCCACCCTCCTTCTGCCCTTTTCTCTTTCAGAACAAGGTGGTGACCGTGGATGGTGTGAGGGTGAAGCTGCAGGTGAGACCAGAACTGCAGGGGAGGGGGAGGACGGAGGTGCCCGCCCCTGCTCTGCACCCAAACCGCAGGAGGCCTGCAGCCCTGCCCTCCGCCTGGGGCAATTTCCTGTGGGGCCCAGAGGAAACGGTTTTTGTGCTTTTGTTTGTTCGAGGTCTCTAGAAAAAGCAGTTCCCAGGCACCCTCTCTGCTATCAAAGGCAGCTCAGCGTGCCTTCAGACAAGCTTAGGCTTGCTCCAGCTCCTCTCCAGTTTCCCAGGCCTCATCTGCTCTGGGAGACTGGGCACCCCCAACCTCCGGACTAGGGAAGAGGCTGCCGCCTGAATGAGCTTGTGAACTCAATAACAGCACCGTGCAGGACACCATCACATGTTCAGGAGGCCCTGAGCACCTGCAGCAGGAAGTGTCCCACCTTCCCACACAGCTCTCATACACCAGCGTGGGTTCCCTCTGCCCAGCACGGTCCCGGCACACTGCCTCCTTCTGACCATCTGTCCGTCCCTTCCTAGATCTGGGATACAGCCGGGCAGGAGCGATTCCGCAGCGTCACCCATGCTTATTACCGAGATGCCCAGGGTAAGCCCTTCCCCAGCCCACCTGGCATACCCATCCTTCTGCCCCACATCCCCTGTGTGATCTCTCTCTCCCCCCGTCCCTGCAGCCTTGCTCCTGCTCTACGACATCACCAACAAGTCTTCTTTCGACAACATCCGGGTAGGTCCCCTTCCCTCGCCACCCATAAGCAGCCAAGGCGGGGCCTCCGCAAGCTAGGACTGCTTCCTGCTTGATGGGAAGGGGGAGGAGCATGGAACACTGCCCCCTTTTCAAAAACACCTGCTCTGTGACTCAGAAGGAATAAGCTGCCGCTGGGCATCTGGTTGGCATGTGGGCATGAAGGCCAGGCAGGCCGCTGGGTGCCCGTGCTACCTGCTTAGCCCTGGCTGTGATTCCTGAGGGCAGCTCATGACAGTGTCTGCAAAGTACCCAGCTCCGCCCTGGGCAATTACCCACCCACAGAGACCAAGGGGAAAACCCAAGCAGGAGAGGCTCTTCAGCCAGCCGCCCAGGTGGCAAAGAAAGTGGTTTGGGCAGTGAGCAGTTCTGTCCTCACCAAACTATTACAGAGTAGGGATAAAAATTCAACAAGTACAAGCACTGAGTGTGTACAGAACCATAACAGTTTCACATCTCCCCGACCTCAAGGGATTGGCAAGCAAATTGCAGGGGTGGAGGGGCAGACGGGGACCAAAACATATAGATATAAAGCAGCTTATAAAGAGGATGGAAATCCACTTATATTGCCACCTCCAGCTCCGTGTTCCTGGTAGACATCACCAATCAATCACAATATTTTTTATCACTGAGCCCTTATGTGTCCTTGGAATCCTCAACGAGGCACTCCAGGAAATCGCTGGTGACTACCAACTGATTTAGGAGATAAATCTCCTCCATCTCCAGTTTCCATAGAACAGGGAGTTGCAGTGCTTGGGGTTGGGGGGAGTTTGCGGTGCTTGGGGTTGGGTAGGAAGGTTAGTAAGGAAGGCTGATCAAGACCAGAGAGGCCAGAACAAAGAGGCAGATAAGAGAATGCGGGGGGGGGGGGGGGGGGGGACAGTGAGTGGCCCAGGAAAACCAAACAGGACAGAAGAAGGATGGGGGAGAGAGGGAGGAGAGAAGGGCTGGTTCTCAGGCACGTCCTGGCTCAGCTCACCCTCTCCCACAGGCCTGGCTCACTGAGATTCATGAGTATGCCCAGAGGGATGTAGTGATCATGCTGCTGGGCAACAAGGTGAGTGAGCCTGTCCCGGTGCCTCCCCTCTTACTAGCTCCACGCAAGCCCCACCGTTGCCCAAGAGGGTAAGCTGCATGTCCTTCCAGCAAAGGATTCTTTTATTTTCTATTTTTTTTAAGATTTTATTTGAGAGAGAGAGAGAATGAGAAAGAGAGAGAGCACAGGAGAAGGGGGGGGGCGGTCAGAGGGAGAAGCAGACTCCCTGCTAAGCAGGGAGCCGGATGAGGGACTCGATCCAGGGACTCCAGGATCATGACCTGAGCCAAAAGCAGTCGCTTAACCAACTGAACCACCCAGGCGCCCCCAGCAAAGGATTCTTTCCAGACTCCAGTTCAAGGGTCAGACCTATTTGGCAGCTTCAGCCCATCTCATCTGCCCTCGTAAAGTTTTGGAAATGGCCCCCTCCAGGGAAAGCCCACGCTGCCATCTGAGAGATCCAGGAATGCCCAACTGCTCAGCCCCCGTTAGATCATAGTAAAGTAGGGTCACAGATGATGAGCTAATACCAGCAAGGGTTAGTCCCAACTACTGTCACCTCTCTGAGGCTGGTCACCACACCCCTGCAAAGGAGAGTTTCCCATCTCCCCAAGTGGCAGTGAGATCCCCTGGCTGGGAGCTGGGTAACTCAGCCTGAACTAGGCGGAAATCCTGGCTCGAAGCCAATCATACCACCCGCAGTCCCACAGGCCACCAGCAGAGGGCAGGCAGTAGCTGCTCCTGCGGCTAAAGAGGGGCCCCTGGGGTGGAGGTTTCCTTCCCCAGAGTGACCCACCTGGGCTTGACAGGCGGATGTGAGCAGCGAAAGGGTGATCCGTTCGGAGGATGGAGAGATACTGGCCAGGGTAAGTGACTGCCCGTGGGCAGGACAAGGCGTGGGGACAGCCGGAGGCTGGCCCTGAGGACATTCTCTTCCTGGCAGGAGTACGGAGTTCCCTTCATGGAGACCAGCGCCAAGACGGGCATGAATGTGGAGTTAGCCTTTCTGGCCATTGCCAAGTAAGAGCCGAGCAAGGAAGGGAACCGTGCAGGGCGGGGTGGCACCATCTGGGAATCCAGTAGGGCCTGGCCCCTGGCCCAGCCCCTGCCCCAATGCATTGTGCATTCTAGGTCCAGGAGCCCCAGGCCATGGGAGTGGGGAGGGTGCAGTTCCTCACTCCCTGCCCAGCCCACTTCTTCCTCTTCAAGGGAGCTGAAGTCCAGAGCCTTGTGGCAGCCCGATGGGCCTCATTTCCAGATCCGAGACTTTGTGGAGTCCCAGAAGAAACAGCCCAGCTGCTGCTCCTTCTTATGAAGCCCAAGGTGCTGAAAGGAGGCTCCAGAGGCCACTGCGGATGCAGCCTTCTCCCCCAGATCTGGTTTATTCTGAGCGGATGGAAGTTGGGGGACCCAGGGCAGAGCCCCTTCCCAAGAGAGAGCTGTACTCCCACCCTTCCCCTCGTTCTTGTAGCTTCCCTGCATCCTGGGGGAGGGTAAAGTATTTATTTCATTTTAATGATACATAATGTAATACAAAAAAGGACGGGTGGGGACCAGAAAACCAAAAGAGGGACCTGGCTGTGTTTCTGCCTTCCGGTACCAGGACTTGCGGAGCCAAGGCTCCCTCCTCGCCTTGACAAGTGTGGTATTCTCCAGCTCAGCACCAGAGGGCAGTGATGCACTTCTGCAGTGGGAGGGCAGGAGGCGACCCCCCCAAGCCACCCTCACCTCAGCTGGAGAGGGGAAGCAGACCCCAGCTTTACTTCCTCCAGCTCCCAGGGAACAGACGTCCCCAGTAAGATGGGCCCTTGTGCTGCGAGCCAGACCAAGGCTCAGGGAAGTGACCAAGCTCTATGGGTAGGGGAGAGAGGAGTAGCACAGACTAGGTCTATGTTTGGCGGCCTCTGGCCTTACTAGCCCCCCTGTGGGAGGTGTACCCCTTTTTCTCCAGCCTGCAGACTGAAAACATTTGGCTCCTGTTCTCTGGACCTCAGGTCCCAGGGGAACCCTCCCCCCCCTCCCCCACCCCCAAATCCCTGGTCTTCTCTACCTTTTTGCTTGTGCCCCTAGACAACGTCATGGCCAAGGAAAGGTTTTTTCTTCTGTCCCAACACTTTGGCAGATATGCAGCCCCACAGGCTACTTCAAGCAGCTACAGTGCTTCTGCTGAGTTAAGAATCAGATAAGGAGGAACCTTCGACTCCTGGAGCAGGTGGGAGGCAGAACTAAGCAAACCTCACCCCACACATATTCCCCCAAACCCAAGCACTGCCTCTTCCTGACCACCCATGCCTTTTCCCTTTAGACAGACACCACCCCGGCCAAAACTGCTCTATGTCCCCTCCCACTGAGCCAGGTTAGAGAGTGAGAGGTCACCCATTTCTGGGTAAACCAACACAGTGTGTGTAAAACAAAGTCATGAGGGTAAGACTGGGGTAAGGAGAAAGGCAGCAAGGAGTTTATGTGAGGCCAAGGTCACCTGTCTCACAAAACCCTGACTCTGGAAATTGGAGGTGAACAGGAGACGTGTGTGTCATGACCTAGAGGAGAGTAAGAAGTACACACAGCACATTTCTAAGGCTACTGCATTTGCTTTCAAGGCAGAAATCTTGCTCTCTGAGCAGAGTCAGCAGCTCCAACTTGGGACTGATAAGGAAGCTCTCTGAGGCTTCTCCCAGGAGGAGCAGGGAGGCCTGACCTTGCTGGGCTCTTCTGGGGCCCAAGGCAGGTCGCAGGCAATCCAGTCACATGGGCTGCTCTGGGCCTCTAGCATTTGTGTTTTCAGAATTAAACTGCAGAATTGGGAAAGTACACCCTGTCCACTGCTTCTTTGAGGTGCTCATGGAGAGGGGACAGGGGAGATCACATTGATTGTTATTGCATGTTGGGGGAACTGTCATTGACTGCCCAAATCATTTGATCTTCATCCTTCAATGCCCCCAACTGCTCACCTCACCCTTGAAAGACCCTTCCCCAACTTCCGTGATCAGCCTTTCATCTGCAAGGAGCTGAAAGGTTTGTCTTAACGTCCCATTCGGACGTTTTTTTTTCCTATTGAAAAAAGCCGGGGCTCCTTTCCCTCCGCCCTGTACTCAGAGATTGGTTACCTGACTCTGTTCTGCCTCTCTTCCCCCACTTAACTGGCCGAACGCTGACGCCAGTGCTCACACCCTTGTCCTAGGTGACCTGTCTTCAGAGGGCAGCCCTGGGAAGCCTGGGCTCCCTGCTGAGCCCTCATAATGTCCCAGCGAGGATGAGAGCCCGCACCCCTCTAAGCGTGTCCTTGGACAACGCAAAGCCCACGAACGGGAAAATATCGTTATTCAAGCAACGTTATTGGGCCGGAGGTGGACCTAGTCTTACTCGCAAGACTTCTGGGACCCCGCAGCCCCGGAGCTGGAGCGGTTTCCCCGACAACAGTTGCTCCCCACCCCCTACCCTCCCAACCCCTCACTGCGGTACACACAAGGATTTAGCTAAAGGTCGTTAAAACGTTAGAGTCCTTTACTCGTGGGTTGGCTCTCCTCAATCCCCGCCAAAGGTAGGGAAAACCAGAAGCCTAAGCGCCCCTCTGCCCAGTACCGGGAGCTCGCCCCGCCCCCCGCCTCAACTTTGTCCACTTGGTAACAAAACACTTCCACTTCCTGAGCCCTCTTTCTTCTCGCGCCGCGGGGCGTCGCGCCGAGCCCAGGACCCCGCCCCCGCGCGTTCCCATTGGCCGGCGTCGTTCACCCGGCCCGAGCGACCCTGTCCGTGGTCTCTGATTGGGCTGCGGTGTCCACACCCTCGGTGTGGCCCCGCCCCCGGAATAAGGGGCTGGAGCCGATTCGAGATCGCTCAGACGCCGCGCTGGGTGGGGATTGGTCCACGCGCTCCTGCTTCAACTCCTCGCAGTTCGCGGCCGCCGCTCGCCGCACACCTGTTCGCTCAGCCCACCCCGCGGCGCGGGGATTCTCTGCGGTGCTTCCTCCCGCCTGCCAGTCCGCAGGGCGGGGAGAAGGGTTGAGGCTTCCTCCCGCCTCCGGCTCCCAACGGGAACCCAAGTCTCACCACTGAGCCGTCGCAGGGCGAGATGAGCGCGGACGCGGCGGCCGGGGCGCCCCTACCCCGGCTCTGCTGTCTGGAGAAGGGCCCGAACGGCTACGGCTTCCACCTGCACGGGGAGAAGGGCAAGGTGGGCCAGTTCATCAGGCTGGTGGAGCCCGGTTCGCCAGCCGAGAAGGCGGGGCTGCTTGCCGGAGACCGGCTGGTGGAGGTGAACGGCGAGAACGTAGAGAAGGAGACCCACCAACAGGTGGTGAGCCGCATCCGCGCGGCGCTCAACGCAGTGCGCCTGCTGGTGGTCGACCCCGAGACGGACGAGCGGCTGCAGAAGCTGGGTGTCCAGGTCCGGGAGGAGCTGCTGAACGCCCAGGACGGGCCCGGGCAGGCCGAGCCGCCGGCCGCCACCGAGACGCAGGGGGCTGGTGGCGAAAATGAGTCGCAGGCCGCCGCGCCGGAGCCGCACGAAACCGAGAAGAGCCGTCCGGAGCGGGTAAGTGTGGACCCTGACCCGGCGGCGACTGGAAGGGGATGGGAGGGGGAAGCGGGAGGAGACCCAGGCGCCCCTTGGACGTCCAACCCCGCGCCTGCCTCCTCTTTCTGAAACTAGATCCTCGAGGGGGGAACTGCTTCCGCCTACCGACAGGTCGCACTGGCTTGGGGCTGCGTCCAAGTTGCTAGGTTGGGGCTGCGTCCCGTTACCCCCACGCCCCTTCCCAGACCGGGCTGGGACCCTGAGCATCTTGCCACCTGCACTTCTTGTCCCTTGGCCTTTGGGAGTGGGAGTGAGGGAGGGCAGCTCAAGGGAGTGCAGTCCCCTTTCCTTGGCTCTGCTGGCGGTGTCCGTTTCCATTCTTCGGATCCCCGCAATCCTTCCCCTCCTCGGCCACCGCACTTCCAGCAGCCCCAGAGGTGCCAGCTTCCTCCCCGGCCTCTGTGGGTGGTAGCTGAAGCTGGGGTGAAGCAACCGCCACCCCGACTTCAAAAAGCCAGAGTAACAACCCCCTTTCCGTCCCGAGCCCCGGCGCAAGGAGGGGAGGGGTCGCCGACAGGGTTCTCCAGGGACCGCCCCACCCCCGCCGGCTGGTGCGTGTATCATTAACTTCAGCCCGGCTGGACTTCATCCTCCTGAAGTACAGTGTGACTTTTAAGAGAGGGAGCCCCACGGGCTCAGGGCGATGTGTGGGGGTGGGGTGCGGGGAGGAGGTGCAGAGGCGTCTCGGGGGTGGTGGCGACTCTGCCACCCAGAAGGATTTATGAGTCTCAGGAATGTGAGGAGTAAGCGCTCGCTTGTATCTGGGATTGGGAGGGGAGGATCTTGGAGGAAGGGAAGGGGCTGGGAGGAGGGTGGGGAGAGAGTGGTCGGGTGTCGCTGGGCCATGCAGAAGCCAGGGGAACTCACCAGAGGCAGGTGGTCTTGCCCTGTCGTTGTCTGTCTCACTCCCGTCCCAGGACAGCAAGCAGGCTGGTTGCTTTTTGTCCATGTTTGGTGTTTTCCAAACGGTCCCAGTTTGGATCAGCGCAGTAGGAAAACAGGAGTTGTGATGAGAGCCTTCTGTCCCCAGAGAGTGAAGGGGGAGGCCTTAGGGTGCAGACTGTAGGGAGCAGAGCCTGGGCCTCCCAGGGCCCGTTTGGCTTGCACCAGCTCTCCACCTGGTGGCAGCGTGTGGCAGGAGTGTCCGTGATGCCCGCAGAAGCCTCCCTGGACAGAGAAAGGGCACCCTTCAGCCTGAAGGTAGAAGGTGGATCTGGAGAGGACCAGCTGGTTTGGTGGAAGTGAAGGAAGTGAGGTCACCAGGAGCCCCATCCAGCCAGAGCTGGGTGCTGGGAATACAAGGGCCGCCAGGCTCCCACTTCCTGCCACTGCCAAGCTGGCATTGGCAAGGATGGGGGAGGATCGGAGCATCCCTGGCAGGGGTTTGACACCAGGGAGTTGGAACCCATGACCTCTGGTCCCAGGCAGAAATCCAGTTTGAACTTTGTGCTGAGCTGAGTGTATCGATTTGTCATTCCCTTTTTTTTGGACTTTGGCACTGGCACAAGTAACCACCTCCCCACTCCCCATCCCCTGCCAAGATGCTGTTATGTTCAGCTCCTCCCCCTTGCCCTTTCGTTTTTGTTTTTGTTTTGTTTTGTTTTTGCTGCTGGGTGCAGGAGGATCTGGGGGGAGGTGAGAGGATGCCAGGGGCTTGGAGGCTTGACCCAGCATATGCACTCCCAACCATACCATCTGAGAAAGCAGCCGAGCTTGACTTTCTGCTTTCGGCTGACCACAGAATCAGATTCCCCCAGATGGTGACGGGACATCTGCATTTGTGCGCACTTTGTTAGGCCAGGAGTAGGGAATAGAATACCCTCCAGCCAGTCCTGGGGACACCATCACCAGGCCGCTTGGGGCTTCAGGTCAACAGGCAAGTCACAGAAGTTCCCTGAGCCTTGGTTCTCCCATCTGTAAAATGGGGAGTGCTGTCATACAGTGACACCTGCCTCCTCTAGGATTTTACAAATAGTGGGAAGTACTTGAGCCCCAAGTGGATGCTGAATGGAGCACCTTTCTGCCCAGGCATTTGTGCGAGGATGCTTTCATCCTCATGCAAAGCCAGTTCCTCTGGTAGGAAATGTCCATGAAATCTGGTATGGTGGCCATGCAGGTGACCCACCCTGTCATTGCAAAAAAAAAAAAAAAAAAAGTTAATAAACATAGTAAGACTTTTTCCCTAAAAGTCATCTCATATAAAGAATTTGAGTTTTACTAATTAGTTTTAGCCTGAACTTGTTTGCAAAATGGAGACTGTTACGGTATCTTCATTGGTTCTCACAAGTGCAAAAGGTGTTAGGTGGACAAGTGCCATGCAGAGATTGGGTGGCAGGTGACATCTCATTGGGAAGACCAACCTGGGTCAAGAATCCTACAGGGCAGAGGGTGTGGGGTGGCTGTAATACAGTCTGAGGAGGAGGGGGAGGGGACTTCCAGCTGTGCCCACCTGCTCCCTCGGTGGCTTTCCTCACCCCCACCAAGGAAGGATCGGCAACAGCCCTGCTCACAGCCCCCACAGTCACAGTGGTGGGTGGGCAGCAGGCCTGAGTCACCACAGCTGTACTAGCTGGGCCCCACCTCGAGCCAAGTGTCTTTTTTTTTTTTAAGATTTTATTTATTTGTCAGAGATAGAGAGCGTGAGAGAGACAGAGAGCGGGGAGGGGGGTGGATAGAGGGAGAAGCAGGCTCCCGGCCCGAGCAGGGAGCCTGATGCGGGGCTCTATCCCAGGACCCTGGGATCATGACCTGAGCCCAAGGCAGACGCTTAACGACTGAGCCACCCAGGCGCCCCAAGCCAAGTGTCTTAACCTCCAAGGCCTCTGTCTCCTCTTGTGGAAGTTGGAGCGTAGCCGCTGCTACATGGGCTGGGGATTACACGGGCGGGTCTGTAAAGGCAGTAGCTTGGTGCCTGGCACTAAGTTACTGCTCTGCAAACGTCCCTGTTGGTATTTGAATTGGTAAGTATTTCGCACATTACATGTCCCCCCGCGGGGCAGCTAGCCCTGGACCTGCCCCTCCTTGGGCAAGTGCAGCTGTGTCCGAGCCTGGCGCTCTGTGAACGCTCAGTCGGAGGCCACTGCTCTTGAATAATCAGAAGGTGCTCCACAGCCCTTCCCAATCTGGCAGCCCGACGATACCCTTCAGCCTGGGAACCCACTCCACGAGGCACACTCTGCAAAACCACTCACAGCCCGCATAGCCTTACCCTGCAGGCAGAATGAGCGCTTTCTTT